AGATTCTGAAAGGTAGAGCTCCACAGACCTTACAGAACAGGTTCTGTTGTGTATTTCCTCCCCCAGGATTAAGTGGCTTCAAGAAGGAAGCAGAAGGCTCTTTGGGAATGTGGTTGAAGATGATATCTGTGTTCTTATTGATACATCCCAGTCCATGAACAAGAAGCTGCCACTGGTGAAGCAAAAAATATTTCAGCTCATACAGGTATGATAAAGTGATGACTCTGAAGGATGAGGAGCATTTTAGAGTAGGCTGAGTTTTTCTGCATGGTTGTTGCTCTACTTTTTATTTATTTTTAAGCAATTTTTTTAAATAGCAGCTTCATAAAAGTATTTTTGTTTTTATTCCTGTGTTCATTTTTCAGTTAAAAATTTATGGGGTTTTTCCTCATTTATACAAATATTAAAAAAAAAATCTAGAGAAAATTTTAAAAATTAAAAAGGCTTAAGTACTTCTCTTTTCCCTCAAGATGAAAAACCCCAACCCCCAAGAAGCTATGCAAGGAAACACCTTCTTGGCTCTTGCATTTTTATTTTTAAGCAGAGTCATCCAATTCCATTGGCAGGTTGTGATTTGTAATGTGTGTTCTAGATTCACTTTCATACTTTTACAATAGTGGGTGTAGAACATTTTGAACTTGCATCTTACAGTGACTCAGAACTTTGCAAAATGAACTTGCAAAGTGCAGAAGTACCTGAAAAGATGTGAGTACTGGGAGACACACCTCGGGCAGGATTTGTCTCACCTAGGTTTACAAGTCTGCAGTGATGTCACTTAAGCTTACATTATCATAGAATCCTAGAATCAACCAGGGTGGAAGAGACCTCAAAGATCATCGAGTCCAACCCTACCGTGGTCACTAGACCATGGCACTAAGTGCCATTAATATTTGAGAGGAACAGGTACTCTTAAAACCTGACTACTCTGAACTTTCTTTAGACCTAAGAGAAGTAACTGACAAATAATAATTCAGTCTGGCATTGATAGGAGTCATAGGTAGGACTAGAAAAATTAAAACTATGGCAGAGAGGTTTTTGAGCTAAGTGCACAAGTCATAGGACATAGTATCTTGTGGTCCTCTAGGCAGATCAGCACTAGAAATTTATTAGATTCTGTGCCAGAAGGTTTCACAGGCAGCTGCACAAAAATGGTGATGAAAGGGAGGCAGAAATTCCAGACTCTGAAAGTTTGTGCTAGCTTGCACAAATCTTCCTGGACTTATAACTTCTGTCCAAAAGCAACTTCAGCAAATTCTTAATTCTCTCCTGCTGTCCTAGTTCCCCTTGCCAGTGCTCTTTATTTGATTCCTGCTCTCCTCCTCTAAATGATGTCTTTCTTTCTGATTCCAATTTCCTTTGGTAAGCAGTGGTAATCTCTTTCTTACACCAATGCTCATACCCAGTTTTATCTCTTTCTTGCCCTCCTAGACATTTGCTGTTCAAGTAGTTTGAGAAATATGAGTATATGGAGACTTACTTTGAGAAGTTCAATTAATCTTAATAGTTGCAAGTGATAATTGTCTCTGTATGTCTCTCTGTACACCATAACTGAATATTATAATGATTTATTGTAACCATATAATCAATTATATCAATTAAAACAACTCCTACAGTATTTCAGGATGTGAGTATTCTTTCTTTTAACAGTAAGTAAAACACAGGTTCTGTCTCTTGCAGGAACAACTGAGACACAAAAAGAGAGTGAACTTTGTGAAATTCAGTGCCCAAGCAGTGGCGTGGCAAGAGAAACTTGCTGATGTTAATGAGGAAAATCTGCAAGATGCTTGGCTTTGGATAAAAGGGCTTGAGGTAACATGGCAACTAATCATCACAAAGCAAGTTTGCACAAAGTTATATTTGTGTCTTCACTTTCTGTCTGTCTGGGCTGGTTTCGGTACGACTATTTCACTTGAGTAAGCTGAAAATATGGATGATGTATAGACTTCAGTGGATCTGAGAACGCTGTGTCATCTGTCAGGTATAATGACCCTTTCAGAGTGGACCTGTTTATAAGACCATATGAACTGAACTTGCAGCATGCTACGTTTAGTAGCCACAATTGGCCAATTTGAGTTCCTAGGAACCATGTCAGTGCCCAGACCCTGTGCCTAAATTCATCATTCTTGCTGCAGGGCTGAGAGCTGTTGCTGGCAGACTTACAGCTCAGGGGTGGGACAGAACACTGATGCCTGCAAACTAAACTGCAGGAGCACTCATAGTCCCATTTGATGGGTAGATAGACAACTGACTTTTAGCTTTCATAGAAACATGAGAGCAACCATTCTCAGACCAAACATCTGCCTATCTACCCAAAATTCTTTCTCCGACAGTGGCCAAAATCTCAGGATTTTTCCCTGAAACAGCAGAAATGCTTGTAGTTAGCCACAGTCATACACGAATTGTAATTTTCAGCAGCTTTAGGACCAGTTAATATGTCAAAGTGTCAAATGTGGACAGCAGTATTATGAGCACAGGACCAAAAATTAGTCATGCAACAGCACAGACATATCCCTCATTGTATCTTCTAACACAAACCCCCCCATGTTCATATAATAAAACTCCTCAGCATTATTACAGCTCTTCCTCAGACTTCATAAAGAAATTCCTGGGGGTGAAGGAGTTGGGGAAGCTTACACAATACCTCTGAGACTACAAAGCAAGATTGGTAACTGGTATTCTTAGAAAATACTAACAGAACAACACATAGAGAAAGGAAAGTATTGGCGTGACCTCGCTGAGGAGTTGATGAACACTTAAAACTGAGTTAACTTAATTTTGCTGCCTTCCTTGAGGCTTAAAAACTTGGCTCTGTTTAAGTCATATAGGTTGCACAGCAAGTTCAATAATACCTTGAACTACCATAATTTGACACCGTCTTGTGCATGCATTTGGGAATGGTCTGTTCCATTCATAAAACTCTGAACTGTTGATTATAAATTTCATTCTAAGTTCAGCTCTACTTATCTGAAGTGGTGCAGGAAATGGTTTAAGAACAATTTACTATTTCTAGGGATGACATCTGCTGCTGACCTTTTAGCCTTTTTTCAGCAGTGTAGGCATAAGTGTGAGCTCAGAAATCTGCCTTTGCTCTGAAGCTAAAATGAACAGAAGATTGCTCTGGAATATTAATGAGTAGATCCTTTGATCTCATTTCATACACTTTGGTCCCGGAATCTCAGCTATAAACAGTAATTATCTATTCCTTAAAAATCCTTTAGAGGTGATGACATTTAAAATTTTGGGGGTAGTAATGTCACGTAGTCGAAACATGTCAACATGGATAACACCAGTGTTTGTTTGTAACAACAGCAATTAAGAAACCTAAAAGCAACAACTTTTACCATAAGGTACATAGTTATTTCCTCTACATCATCATCATCCACCCTATGTTCCCTTGATGTAGTGAAAGAAGTTGGTTTATTACAAATCAGTTCACAACCATCTACCACTACTGAAAATTATTTCCTCATCGGAAAACTCAAGAAGTGTTGGTTGGATGAGTGGACAGTAAAATGGATTGAGAACTGGCTGAGTGGCAGATCCCAGGGAGTTGTGATCAGTGGCACTGAGTCCAGTTGGAGGATTTCACTAGTGGTGTCCCCCAGGGCTCCATACTGGGCTCAGTATTGCTCAAATTACGCACCAGTGACTTGAGTGAGGGGCAGAGCTGCCTTCTCAGCAAGTTTGCTGATGGTACAGAACTGGGAGGAGTGGCTGATACCTCAGAGGGCTGTGCTGCCCTTCAGAGGGACCTCAGCAGGTTGGAGAGATGGGCAGAGCAGAACCAACTGAGATTCAACAAGGACAAGTGCAGCTCCTGCACCTGGGGAGGAACAACCCCAAGCACCAGGACAGGTTGGCACTGACCTGCTGGAGAGCAGCTCTGCAGAACAGCACTGCAATGCTCACTGCCCTCTGGAGCAGAACTCAGATGTTATACAAGCATAAAACAGACTACTGTCTTTTCTGGGATTTTGATTTGGCCCCATTAAAAGACTAAGACTCAATGAAGCACTTCTCCATACTGGCAAAACCTTCCATTTCCCTTTAATTTGGAAGGTTTCGTACACTGAGTGTTTGAGAGTTCACATTTGAAGATGTGAACTGTAGTTATTAGGTTTCTGTAAGCCACAAAATGCATTTCACTGAGTTTTGAGTTGTATTTAGTCTAAAAAGACAAAAGAGATTTCAATCACTAAGTATGTGAATGGCAGAGAGAAAGTGCTAGTATTGCTCAAATACAAATTTTTATGGGCACAGTATTACTTTTCTGGGCATGTTTTGTCTCCATAACTAACTTTTGTGCTAAAATATAGATGATGTTTACATTAATGTGCTAAGGGGGTAGATGGGAGAGGGTCTGGAAAAAAATCAGAAATCCAGGAAGTCCTTGACCAGTTTTTGAGAAGGAAACTTGTACAAGTCTTTTGTGGAGCCTTTGAACTATTTAGTTAAGTAAAATATGTGTTTCAAGGGAGTGTGGTGAGCTGGCAAGGAGAGCAGCGGTGGGAAAATTAACAGAATGTATCTTCTATTTCACATCTTCCTATGTGTTTATAGTCTTTTAGTGATTGCTTTTGCTTGCACAGCCCAGATTTCTGCTGCCAGCTTTTTGCTTATGTGTGTTTGCAGAAGCATTGAATACCAATCTGGTCCTAATTTATGCTACTTTGACATTTGCTTAGATTTTTTTCTAGCTATTCAACATAAATGTTTTCACCATTTTATTAGTCATTTTGATTTTGCATTATCCCTTGAATCAGTACACTCATTGTGAATTTAAGAACAGAGCCCAAGAACTGTTAGGATTTATAGCTGTTTCTTTGTCTCCTTTTTGCTTTCCTAGGTCGAAAGTTCCACAAATATACTCAAAGCTCTCCAGGTGGCTCTTGCTGATGCTGACACTCAGGCTATTTATCTCTTGACTGATGGGAGACCTGACCAGGTACTTCTGAAACGAGAAAACACAAAATGCAGAAAGTCTGAAGTATGAGATGAATATCACAACTGCAGAGCTGAGTCTCATGGAGTCTCTGGGATGCTTGCATAATATTGAAAAATTATATGAGAAATGTGCTGTTTGTGAAGGGATTTTGATTGGAACTTTCTACCCACAGTCCAGACTTTGGTGCATGGTAACTCATGACGTTTCTCATGAGCTGTTTGAATGATCTGGTAGTGGATTAAACATTGAAGTTACGTGTTAGTATCAAGGTTAGGTTTTGTGTTAAATATAATTTCTCCCTAACCTAGTAAAAATCTCTCATGATTCAAAAATGATGATCCTGCAGGATATGGTGTGATTTAAATATTAAACCCCTGTAATCCTGTGTGATGGCTTGAGAACCTAAAAAGAAAACAATTTATAGCAAAATAAAAATGCATCAAGTTTGTGTTCAACATTCTCCCCCAAACAACACATCCAGTATATAAGTAGGTACCTTTTTATGTTCTCTTGCAGAGCATACACAAAGGCTATGTCTGAGGCGTAAGGGCCTAAATATTGATTTACATTATTATCATGTGAAGATGTTACCATTAATATTGTTCCATTAAGTCTCTGAATGCTTTTGTTTTTATCCTACTGAGTCAGATTTGATCTCCTGAAGGTGCAATTCTGAAGTAGCAGTAGCCTGAGGTTGTTCTAAGTCTAGTTTTAAGTGGCCAATGAAACAAAAAGTATGCTTGTATTTTTGAATGTGTTGCTACCATGACTTAGCTTGGAGATGGAAAGGCAATGGGAGACCTTAGAGCAGCTTTCCAGCACTTAATGGGGGACAACCAGGAGAGATGGAGAGGGACTTTTGACAAGGGCATGGAGTGATGGGACAAGGAGAATGGCTGAATGAGTCCAGGCAAGGGCAATGAGGGCAGAATAGTTCTTTAAAACATGTGGGATGAGGAAGGGCTGAGGGAATTGGGTTTGTTTAGACTTGAGAAGAGGCTCAGGGGTGACCTCCTGGCTCTACAGCCATCTGACAGGGTTGGAGAGAGGTGGGGGATGTGTGTCCTGCCATGGCTGCAGGGAGAGGATAGAGGGATGGCCTTGAGCTGGGACAGAGGAGAGTCAGATTGGATG